ATAATGGCTGCACGAATTTTTTTTCCAGGCATTTTCCTTTGCACGAATTTTTTTGTGATCCACCGAAGTACTGAACGTAAACTCGTAAGGGGCGGACCATTAGAATTCCCGGGAGGGGGGGTATAAAATTTTTGCGGCACGAATTTTTTTTCAGTCTCGTGTGTCTGCAGGAATTTTTTTTAATGCATTTAACCTCTGCATGAGTTTTTTTTCAAGACTATTTCTACTTAGCTGTTTGCTTGCACGAATTTTTTTTCTCTGACATAATGGCTGCACGAATTTTTTTTCCAGGCATTTTCCTTTGCACGAATTTGGAGAATTTTTACCCCCCCCCCCTCCCGGGATTTCTAATGGTCCGCCCCTAACTTTTGCAGTGTTTTACTAACATGGCCAACATATTTGACGGCGACTCTTTATTTTAAAAAGCTTTTAAAGGTCGATTCTATATACTACACAAATTTTGCCCATAAAACTGTCGCATGCAACCTGCTTACAACTTGAGTCGTAGGCCTACTGTGTAAATCAAGCACACAACAGTCGGCAGGGCATTTTTTAAGACTCAGTGATTCACACAACTACTTCATGGGGCTAAGTCTGTACAACTACTTCATGTGGCTAAGTCTGTACAACTACTTCATGGGGCTAAGTCAGTGTACATAAAATATCAGATGCAGCCTTTTCAACAAGGATGACTTTTCAACTAATATAATGATCAAAAGGGCGCCGCTCATCTGAAAATATTGCTTCACTATATACTATAGTACTGGGGCAAGCAAAGGGCCTACTGGGGTAAATGCCCCAGTATAGTTATATATAGTTAAAAAATGCCTTGCAACTCGCCTATACGTTGTCGTAGATGAGTTGTATGCTTGATTTACACAGTACAACTCAAGTTGTAAGCAGGTTGCATGCGACAGTTTTAGGCAAAATTTGTCGGTGTACTGTGAATCTACCTTAAGAAATACGTTTAATTCGTTGGCTGTATTGGTAAAACACTCAGCAAAATTGCGAACTTCTGTTCAGTACTTTAGCAATTAGTTATTTATTTAAACTATATTAGGGGGTGTGAGCAAGCAACTTTGCAAATTCCAAATTTGGAAACGTAATTGGGGATCGTTACAACCACTGATCAGTGGTTACAACAAATGTGAGAACCGCGCTTTGAAAAAGTAACCTGGAATCGAAAATAAGACAAAAAATTCTGAGGTGGGTACTAAGAACAATAGTGGAGCTGATGGCAGTCTACCGGTAGATATATCACAATGGGAAAATTATAAAGATAAGGTATAGTCTTTATTTGGATGAAACCCATTAAGTGGCAATGGTGGAGTGTCTTTTATAATTCAGATCAGATCAGATATTTCACAGCACACTCCCTATATCAGGGCTTTTCAGTGACTGGTACATTATGAATAGATAAATAGAACTGGACTGACGTGAAGCAGACCGAGGTAGACTTTGAGCTTACAGATGGCGCTTGAGCAGCTGCCGCTATTAGTCCATACCTCATAATTAATGATCTGCCTCCAGACCTATGTGCCTAACCCACCCTGTCAACTTTCCCTGTGGGAGGAAACACGGAGTGCCCGGAGAAAACCCACGACTTTCGGCAGAGCGTTGACTTTTACTCTTTTCACATGAGGACTGGATTCGAGTCACATTGAGAAGTTCTCTGTATGTCTTCTGTATGTCCGCCGGCACGTCTCCCGTGGAAGTCAATAACTTCTTGTTGGGGCTAACGTGCATATGATGCATAAATAAATTTGTATGTATATTTATATATGTATGTATGTTCACACAATTCAAAACAACATGTTTCGGATTTAATTCACAAAAGTTTGAAGGTGATTTTTAAAGGCGGAACAGTGTAAATATTCATTCAGGATAAGGTCAACTGACTTCCTATATTAACTTCTTGAAGGAAAGCTATTGACTTTTTAAGTAATTTTATACACATATACATGGTCGGGGGTATACCTCTAAAATTGATAACCTTTAAAATTCCTTAAAAAATTGCATGTGATTTGTCAGCTAAAAAAAGAATTGCATGTGATTTGTTATAGGGGCAAGGCGTATAGGCCATGTCTATCAGTTCTATATGATGTCAATTCCATATTGCTGCTTAATATTTTGTGAGTCGTGAGGTTTTTGTAAATGAGCAAGCTATTTAGTATCAGAGGTACAAGCTCCTTCATTCATGCACGGTCATGATTTTCTGTGTGGTTTTCCATGCATGTCTTGATGATGAATAATGAGAGAAACACATTTAACGATTTAAAAAGTATTTTTTAATCATGAAATTAATTATACAATTAAAAGAATTCGAATTAAATCTATATATATATATGTTTCGTGTAATCCTGCATGAGCACGCGATGTGGTTGACCATTCGTCCGAGCCATATAATGATATAGGCACACATTATAACGGTGTAAGACTTAAATTAATCTCTATAGTTTACAATGATAAAATATATATAACAATAATAAACTAATATATAAACTGTACTACTTACAAATAGGAGAATATATTCATTATTATTATTATTATTGTTATTAAATTTGTCACAATATTTACAAAGACACTGATAAACGGTATATATAACATGCCACAAGACAACACACGTGACTTGAATGTGGAACAGGACTTATTACTATACTGTCTATACGAACTTACATAGGCACCAGGCTTTCTCGGTGTGAGAACAAACGAAAGTTTAACACTAGTCAGACCTTGATCATTATATAAATTCTTACTGATTTACGGTTGTTCGTACACTGAGCTAGTGAGTGGACTTTACTGAAATAAATACTTAGTACTTATATTACAAACATTTTCTTCACAAAACTAAATATTAGCTACGATTATTAGGAAGTTTGTATGTTTTTGACTTGATACTATATAAGTTATTTAAACGAGTTTTGCACAAAACATGAAGATTTTGACTAGATTTTTACATTTGTACATACGTTCAAGGGTTCTAGTTTACAATAAGCCTATCTAAGCAAGTTTAATCATGCTCCGAAGCTAACGTTAATCACCTAATTAGCTCATTGTTTCAGCTCCTTGGGTCGGCACAAGAAAAGTTCGACCGGTGTGCACTAGGTATTCGTACTAACTTATGTTTTATACTGCAATTTCATTTCTATTTCTTTTGCTGCAACGTTGACAAAAATGATCCGCGTCATCACTTTTACAGCCAAGCAAAGCGTAAAGAAATCCTTTCTTTCGACGGCAAAGAGTAAAGTCCATAATTAATATAGTAAATAGTACCAACGACAGTAGAAAGGCGGCGAGGGTAACTTTTCCTGAAGCAATGTAAACTAGAATCTCATAATTTGCATCTAAACAGAAATATAATAATTCTTGTTAATTTATCAATTCTCTATTGCGTAAATTCTGATACCCTCTAACAATCCCCCGTCTAATAAGCCCCCATTTTTATTGAGCCTCTTCTCTAATAAGCCCCTAGGGCCCCATTAAGTTCCTTCTCTAATAAGCTTCTCTCTTTACTCTAATACGCCATCTGGCCAATATGCCCCGCTTCTCTTAAGCTTCCTCGACCCCGCCCACACAACCGAAAAACGTATTTCTAATAATTAGATTTATAAATTGTGCTGGAAGTTCAGTTTATTAAAGATGATCAGTCTGAACGAACCTGAGCAAAGAAAATATAGTTCGTCTGAAAGTTCATCTGTGTACAAATACAGCAAACAAGAGAATCATTCATCAAGATGGATTATGTCCTCCCTATTAAATTTTCTCTCTAATACACTTTTCTCTCTAAGAAACCCACTCTATTATGCCCCCTCTCTAATGCCATCTGACTAATCGCTGGGTTAGTAACAGCGAAGATTGTCTTGACAGCTGATTTGTGTGTTTGTCGGGAGTTAAATTATCAGACGAATTATCATTTCCGAAGATCATCAGGATTGATAATTCATGTCTAGTAGAAATCAGAGCCTTGATTTCTTACCTTGATCACTCGAGTTTCCAACTGGAGCTTCTGAGGATGAGCTTTTGAGCTTCTGAGGATCATTTTTACCATATTGTTGTGTTTTATCTCCGTCATAAGCCTTACATAAAATATCATTTGTAAGCGGGACACTAACGGGACTATTTCGAGATACAATGAAAGTTTGCTTGTTAAACGTTTCGTTTTTTACCACTACGCAGCCAGGCAAGCACTGTTGGTACGCCAGATATTTATATTGTAAGACAACGTTGAAATGGTTTGGATGGAGTTTGTATCTTGGTTGCGTGATGTTGCAAACGTTACACACACGTATCAGATTGACTGGATTTTGCGAAAACTTCGCTTTGAAATAAGCTGCTGACACTGCAAGAAAGAGTCCTACAGATTAAAGTTACGGTGTAAAAATCACCTTTCCTTGCAGCCGCCAGACCTGAATTACGTGAAATGTCACTGAGTCGAAGGCTGACCAATGCGCCTCGGGTTCTCGCCATCACATGGAATGGTTACTTTTTGGTGGGAGAGGAAAACCCGGGGCAGAAATCACGGAGAAAATCCCTCCGTGCATGTACAGGAAAGAACCAGGCACAGCCCATTTTCCACCGGTCGAATTTGTTCACGGGCAGTTACTTTATCCCACGTCAGCATTGCTCATCACGTCAGCAAGAGCGATGTCGACAAAGACGCTTCGCGCGAATAAATTCGTCAGGAGTGGGAAACGCGCTTCACATGAGTTTTCAAGCGCATCAAGTAAGAATATACCCTAACCTTGATATTCAATATAGTAGTTTAACTCAGTGATGAGGGGAGAGCTCCCGTGTTCTCCTGGTTGTATTGTCATCAACTTATACAGGGTGTCCCAAAAAAACCTCCAAAACTATTGAAATAGCGTATTGTTAGAATTTGAATGCCTCAGCACTCTGCTTTAAATTCCCAATAGCAGAAAATCGTGCGCTTTACAAAGATATATTTTAATTTCTTAATAAGTCAATATTTATTCTTTGCGTTCAGCTTAGTGCTAGGGCATTCAAATACTAACAATATACGTTATTTTCAATAGTTTTGAGGTTTTTGGGGACAACCTTGTATATGAACATGCTTTATGACTATAAGTCTATAACAATAAAACTACAAAAGAAATTTTCTAAAGAACGAAAGAAAGTTAATCACAAATCATGTTCATTTTAGGTAATTGCATGGTATTTTCTCACTGTAAACTTGACTAACCTTCGTTATTAGTTATGGTTTTATACAGTCTATCATTCCTGTACTTTAATTTCCCACATTGACAAGCAGTGTGATTATGAACGACATATTTATAAAACTTCTTTTTATCGCTGGAATCGCGATCTTTGTTTGTTATATCCGGAACAACTATCTCAATTTCGTCCGTTGTTTTTGGAACCGGGTACGTAGACGGTCCACTGCTATGGCATTCGCCAACTTCAAGTTTAACACAGCGATAAACTTCGATGAAATATTGAGGTCTGGATGGCGGGGTTGTAAAGTCATCATTGTATATTGAAATCACTTCTCTTTGTGGTCCTAAACAAAAAAATCAGGTATTTGAGCAAACTACATAAATATTTCTTTATTTTCAAAAAATATATGTAAAAAGAACTAAAGTTTCGAATTACCTGTTGTTCCCAGACTAGATTCCACAACTGCTGGCATGCTGAACAATAGCAAAATGTTCAGCCCAACGTTTTTCAAGTTTAAAATCTTGATATCTATAAAAACATGGAAGAAAGGATTAATTTTATCCAATCTTCCAATTCATCAATTCAGCACTACGAGATGATCAAAACTTGTGTCCTGTATTATGATTTGCACATTTGATCATATACTATAACATGTTAATTTGCGCAATATAAATATTAAATATTATTATTATTATTTGATTTAAACTTTATCAAACATTAAAACATGGAAGAAAGGATTAATTTTATCCAATCTTCCAATTCATCAATTCAGCACTACGAGATGATCAAAACTTGTGTCCTGTATTATGATTTGCGCATTTGATCATATACTATAACATGTTAATTTGCGCAATATAAATATTAAATATTATTATTATTATTATTTGATTTAAACTTTATCAAACATTACTGTACAATCATTCAGCAGATTTTATATTAATATATATATATATATATAAAAAGTGAAATGTTGCTGATAACAAGATACAAGTGTTGTATATAGAAAAGGTTTCAATGTGCAACCAAAAGAGACATTTATAACGTAAAATAAAATAAAAGCCACTCAAATTTTGCACAAACGTTTTCGCTTTAATGTTA